GAGAGAGAGAGAGAGAGAGAGAGAGAGAGAGAGAGAGAGAGAGAGAGAGAGAGAGAATGTATTAAAATGTTAGGTTAAACAATCAACGTGCTGAGGCAGGCGGATCTCTGTGAGTTCCAGGCCAGCCTGGACTACAAAGTGAGTTCCAGGAAAGGCGCAAAGCTACACAGAGAAACCCTGTCTGGAAAAAAAAAATCAACGTGCTTACAGGTTCACAGATGGTTAAAATGTATCAGGTAAGGCTGAAGTTCCCTCTGATGACTCTTCCCTGCCCCTATTAGCCCCCTACACACACACACACACACACTCAGTGTTTCTGGATTGTTTCTTACGAGTCTCCTGTGCTAAATTACTCACATGCATATGCGGTGTGTTTTTATTCCTCACCCCCCCCCTTCCCCGTGCTGTTCTGGGCTCTTGGGCTGTATTATTGGGTGTTGGGTGCTCTTGACAAGGACTGAGGGGTGCTGCCGCCCCACAAGGGGAGCAAATGGGTCCTTGGCTGGTCTGGAGGTCTCTCTAGAGCCCTTCTCTAAGCCTGTTCTCTCACAGAGCTCTGGCCACACTCTCTTTTTGCCTTCTGCCTCCTGCCTTCTGCTCACACTAGTTTTAAGGCCCCACCTGCTGCACCCCGGAGCGCTGGGGCCCTTAGCAGTGAAATGCGAAGGACGCTGGCTTCTGCGCCCCCTGGCGGCTGCTCTGGTGCACTGCAGCGGCGCCTCCGCGCCGGACCTTCCCACCCGAGGGTGCGGTCAGGAAGCTGTGCCCGTGGGGCGACGAGAACCCTCTTGTGAGTCCCGGGCAGTTAAGGCTAGCCGATCAGGTTAGCCGAACAGGCGGATAAGCCGATCTCTGCTTTTGAGGCTCCCCAAGGAACGTGAGTGCCACCTCGAGTTGCCCGAGGTTCTACACGTTTGCAGGTACCAGATAGGGATGAGTTGTCCTTTTGTTTCTTAATGAACCAGGTTTCTTTTTATTACATTTATTTGCGATGGGGAGGGTGCGGGGGGGGGGGAACACCGTGTGTGGAGGTCAGAGGACAACTTGTAGTCATCGGTTTCTCCTTCCATCATACGGGTCCCAGTGATCTAACTCAGGTCAGCAGCCTTGGGTGCACGCACCTTTACCTGATGAGCCATCTCGACGACTCTTTAGTTTTGCCCTCAGACAGTGATAGCAGGGTCATGTTCTGCAGTCCACGCTGGCCTTGAACTTGGGATTCTGCTTCAACTTCCTGAGAGCTGATTTATCGCCGGGCGGTGTGACCGCTCCAACTTTGCTGTAATGATCTTGTCAAATAATGAGCACCTTCAGTGAGCGAAGCTAAACTGACCCGGCGAAAAAGAATCCGGAGCGAGATGGGCTGCAGACCGGAGCCCTTTCCCACTCTGGCCGGCCGGAGTCTCGCCAGCCACTGTCCTCTCTAGAGGACGCCCCGCCCACCCGCCTCGGACGCCCCGCCCACCCGCCTCGCCCCTGACAGCCGCATTGCAAGGTGCGGAGTAAGCTGCTGGCTCATCCATCTCTACCAGAAGGTCAGTTTGCCAAGTGCCAGAACTTTGAACCCAGTTCACTTGTACATCCTAAGCCCTTCCCACGGTGCCAGGCTTACAGCTAGCGTTTAACTGGAGTTGATAATGAAGCCTCTGAAAGAAGACATCAATGTAGAGATTAGACAGGTCTCTGACTTTTTAAAAAGTTTTTCGAGACAAGTTTGTTTTTTTGTTTGTTTGGTTGTATTTTTTTTTTATGTAGTCCTGGCTGTTCTGAAATTCGCTTTGTAGCCCAGGCTGGCCTCGAACTCAGAGATCTGCTTGCCTCTGCCTCCGAAGTGCTGGGATTAAAGGTGTGCACCACCACTGCCCAGCTTGAGAGGTTTCTGACATTAAGTGCAAAAAACAACTTCAGAATTCAGGAGTTGCTGGGGATGTAGCCCGATTGGTAAAGCGCTTGCTCAGCATGCACAAAGCCCTGGGTTGGATTCCCAGCACTGTGTAAAACCGAGAGTGGTATAATCCTAGCCTTTGGGAGGTGAAGGCGGGAGGATCAGAAGTTCAAGGCCATCTTTGGGTAGATATGGAGTTTGAGGCCAGTCTGGGGTAAGTGTCTGTTTCAAAAACAAACAAAGGAATAAGCAGGCTGTGTGAGTTATGTCCCAGCTCCCCGCCCCAGCCTATGCAAATAAACTAAACTTTCTGTAAACTTGAAATGTCTCAAAGGACCTGGGGGCGTGGCTCAGTGGTAAAGTTTCTACCTAAACCCTGGGTCCATCCCTGTTGCAAAAACATGCAGGGTGTAGGGGTGGGGGAATGTTCAAAACTGAAGAATCTTAAACAACAAAAGCTAAAAGACTTTCTACAGATTACAAGAGTCGGGAGGATGTACAGGCTGGGGTCCTCCATGCACGTGTGCAGTGAGCAGTGAGCTCTCAACACCCACACAGCCCATGCAGGTGGCTTGTTACAGACGAGACAGAGTTCTTCAGTGGAGGCGGCATTTGACATTCATGCTTAGAAATAAGACAGGATCTCATCAGGAAGTGATTGATGAGCAGAAAGGGTATTCCATTGAAGGATCGGACGGATGACGGTAGCTCAGATGTACCATACACACTTTTGAAAGTAACCAGGGCAACTGGTGAGAGACCATGAAGTCTTGAAGCATACTGCCCCCGTTGGGAAAGGACTTGCTTGGGAGGGTTGGGTGAGGAGCAGGGAGTCTCCAAGGATTGATAACCGTTTAATTCAAATGGCGATACCATGTGGATCGCCTGTGAGAGGCCGGCCACAGGCTGGACCACAGCAAGGAGGGCAGTTGGGATGGAGGGAACCCCGCTGGACCTGGGAGGACAGGCGAGAACTAACCTCTCTGCTAGGGAGGCTACCCTTTCAGAGCCAAGCCTGTGTCCCTGAGGCCAGCACACTTGGCCTTGGTTCACACGGAAGGACGTGTCTCGCCTGCACCTTCCATGCTCTTCATGTGTACTGATGATTGTTGCAGCAGGAGACACACCAACAGGAGAAATTCCAGCCCAAACTAGCATCTGAGGCTTGAAGAAGGGTCAGGAACGGGAGCCAGTCCAGTATCCTTCACGACAGAAGGGTCTGGGAACGGTAGTGGTACCCAGGTTATGAGGGAGAGAGAGGCACTGGACGTGAGTAGAGATTGTCTTGTCGTAGAGATAAAGGGCCCTGGCGATAAGAGCTGTCTGTCAGTGCAGCCCTCCACAGCTGAAGATACACTGTGACTCCCTTGGACCCGCCTTCACAGTTAGATGTGGATTCTGTGACCAAAGGCCAGCGCCCCAGGCTGCCCCTGTAGGCCTGAGAAGGACCAGCTCAAACTGTACCAGAGATCTAAGGATGTCTGCGTGGGGTGGGGGTGGAGGTAACGGACGGGAGACCTGTTGCCATCTTCTAGGTACACTTTGGGTAGTGTTTCCTGAGCCTTCCTACTGGGTAAGGGTGGGGCCCCCCGGTCTCCATAACAGTGCCAGGCAGTTCGAAAGAGCTGAATTATTCGCTGGAGGCCGCCCAAAAGGAGACTGAGTTCCTGGACCTGTCTGACACATTTTCCCAATGTATAGATCACTCCTGTGATTCTGGCTCCAGTCCTAGCCGGGGCTTCCTGTTACATCTTCCCTGATACAAGCATATTCCTTCCGAGTCTGTTTTCCCATCTGTGAAATCGAGCAGGAAAGCAACCCCTGCCCCGGAGGCTTAAGCGACTGTTGGTCAGCCACCAGAGGCTTGAGGATCACCCAGAGCTGTGTGGCTCCGCTCAAGACCCCACTTCTCTGGACCTCAGTCTCCTCCTCTGTACAGATGAGCTCATGTAGTAGACTCCCAAAGGCTAGTTGGGAGCAATGGCTAGTTTATGTCTGGCCGCCAGAAGAAGAGGGACGGGATGCAGAAGGCTCTGGTACCACGGGCTGTTGGCAGTGAGTGGCTCCTGAGTGTTGTCGTAGGGCCACCCTCCCCGCCCCC